GAGTGAGTTCTTTGCAACAGGTGGCCAAAATATTGACGTTTCAGCGTCAGCATCAGTTCTTCCAATGAATATTCGGGACTGATTTCCTTTGGAATGGACTGGTTTGATCTCCTTCAGTCCAAGGGACTCTCAATAGTCTTCTCCAACACCACAGTTCAAAAGCATAAATTCTTCAGTGCTCAGTTTTCTTTATAGTCCAACTCTCACATTCATACATGACTACTGGAAACACCATAACTTTGATAAGATGGACCTTTGTTGGCAAAGTAGTGTCTCTGCTTTTTAATATGCTGTCTAGGTTAGTCATAGCTTTTCTTCAAAGGAGCAAGCATCTTTTAATTTCATGGCTGCAGTCACTATGTGCAGTGATTTTGGAGCCCCCAAAATAAAGTCTGTCACTGTTTGCATTGTTTCCTCATCTATTTGCCATGAAGTGATGGGACCAGATGCCATGATCTTAATTTTTAAATGTTGAGTTTTAAGCCAAATTTTTCACTCTCCACTTTCATTTTCATCAAGAGGCTCTTTAGTTCCTCATCTCTTTTTGCCATAAGGGTGGTGTCATCTGCATATCTGAGGTTTTTGATATTTCTTCTGGCAATCTTGATTCCAGCTTGTGCTTCATCCAGCCTGGCGTTTCACATGATGTACTCTGCATATAAGTTAAATAAGCAGGGTGACAAAATACAGCCTTGAAGTACTCCTTTCCCAACTTGGAACCAGTCTGCTGTTCCATGTCCAGTTCTAACTGTTGCTTTCTGACCTGCATACAGATTTCTTAGGAAGCAGTTCAGGTGGTCTGGTATTCCCATCTCTTTAAGAATTTTTCAGTTTGTGGTGATCCACACAGTCAAAGGCTTTGGCATAGTCAATAAAGGAGAAGTAGATGTTTTTCTCGGAGAAGGCAGTGGCACCCCACTCCAGTACTCTTGCCTGGAAAATCCCATGGACGGAGGAGCCTGGTAGGCTGCGGTCCATGGGGTCGCTAAGAGTGGGACACGACTGAGCGACTTCACTTTCATGCATTGGAGAAGGAAATGGCAACCCACTCCAGTGTTCTTGCCTGGAGAATCCCAGAGACAGGCGAGCCTGGTGGGCAGCCGTCTATGGGGTCGCACAGAGTTGGACATGACTGAAGTGACTTAGCAGCAGTAGCANATTCTGTCAGATCTAATCCTCTGAATATCTTTGTCACTTCCACTGTATAAACCTAAAGATTTGATTTAGGTCATACTTGAATGGCCTAGTGGTTTTCCCTACTTTCTTCAATTTTAGTCTGATTTTTGCAATAAAGAGTTCATGATCTGAGCCATAGTCAGCTCCTGGTCTTGTTTTTGTTGACTGTATAAAACTTCTCCATCTTTGGCTGCAAGATTATAATCAGTCTGATTTTGGTATTGACTATTTGGTGATGTCTATATGTAGAGTCATCTCTTGTGTTGTTGGAAAAGGGTATTGCTATGACCAGTGTGTTCTCTTGGCAAAACTCTGTTAGCCTTTGTCCTGCTTCATTTTGTACTCCAAGGCCAAATTTCCCTGTTACTCCAGATATCTCTTTGCTTCCTACTTTTGCATTCCAGTCTCCTATGATGGAAAGGACATCTCTTTTGGGGTGTTAGTTCTAGAAGATGTTGTAAGTCTTCATAGAACCATTCAGTTTCATCATCTTCAGCATTACTGGTTGGGACACAAACTTGGGTTACTGTGATGTTGAATGGTTTGCCTTGGAAATGAACAGAGATCATTCTGTCATTTTTGAGATTGCATCTAAGTACTACATTTCAGACTCTTGTTGACTGTGATGGCCACTCCATTTCTTCTAAAGGATTCTTGCCCACAGTATTAGATATAATGGTCATCTGAGTTAAATTCACCCTTCTTGTCCACTGATTCTTAAAATGTCAGTGTTCACTCTTGCCATCTCCTGTTTGATCATTTCCAATTTACCTTGATTTATGGACCTAACATTCCAGGTTCCTGTGCAATATTGTTCTTTACAGCATTGGACTTCACTTCCAGCACCAGTGACATCCACAGCTGGGTGGTGTTTTTGCTTTTACTCTGTCTCTTCATTCTTTCTCGAGTTACTTCTCCACTCTTCTCCAGTAGCGTATTGGCCACCTACTGACCTGGAGAGTCCATCTTTCAGTGTCCTCTCTTTTCGCCTTGTCATACTGTTCATAGGGTTCTCGAAGAGAGACAGAGATTAGACAAAAGGGCAGTCGATAACACCTTTGAGGCATTTATTTTGAGCAAAACTTCCTTCTTCAGAAAGGTTGCACCATCTTGGGTTGCAGCTTTCTCTTACATTTGCTTTTCAGTCATGGCCTCTATCCCCTTTTTATTGGATGAATAATGTTCGTTTTTATTTTATTGATGAGTACTGTCTGTTGATGGATATGTGGGTTGTTGCTGTTTTAGTTTCATATGAATAAAGCTGCTGTGAGCATTGTTTATAGATCTTTGCTTATATAGACATACAGTCATGCTTCTTGGTACATTATTTCTAGACATATTGTACTTGGCTGGTTAAGGGGATGGGTTAATGCTACAACTGCCTAATCTCATCCTGTATCTCTCAACTAGAAGTACTTTCACTCTCAGAGGGTTTTCAAGTTTCTAAGACACTGTGTGTTGTATACTGACTGCGTCATTCCATACGTTTTTGTGCGTGTTCTTGCTTCTTTGCATGTAGCATGTTAGTCGCTCAGTCGTGCCCGACTCTTGCCGACTCCATGGACTGCAGCCCACCAGGCTCCTCTGTCCATGAGATTTTCCAGGCAAGGATACTGGAGTGGGTTGCCATTTCCTTCTCCAGGGGATCTTCCCAACCCAGGGATCGAACCCGGGTCTTCTGCACTGCAGGCGGATTCTTTACCGACTGAGCTACAAAGGAATCCCCTTACTTCTTTAGGTGAAATATAAATCTGCTTAGGTGGCAGTGTAACCCGGTGGGTAAGAGTGTACACATTAGCATCAGGCCTAGATTCATAGCCTGGTTCTGTTCCTTCCAGCTCTGTCTGTGACCTTGGGAATGCTTCTTAATCTCTCTGAGCCTTGCTTTATCTGAAAATGAAGCTAAAAATAGTGCTTAGGGCAGAGTTGTTAAGATGAAAAGAGATAATGATATAAAAGGCTTATTAGCACAGTGATGGTATAGGCATATGGTGGTATAGGCAGCACTGTGATTGTTTATATAATTATTGGTAGGAGAGATAAGATAAACTCATGAAACATTAAAAATGAAGAAAGAAATTAGTATAAATACAGCAGCTGGGCAGACTGGGAAAATTAAATTAATGACTAGATTATATGATCTTGCTTCTGGTATAAAATGTCTATCCTACCTCCACCCCACCCCCATTCCCTCCCTAGTTAGCATTTTATCTCTCCTCCCATCTTTCCCATCACTACAGTTAACTCAAAGAATAATATTTAAATTTAAGATTTTATTTTAGTTTTAGTCTCTACACAGAAATAAAAAGCAGAAGCAGAGCTTCCTGATTAAGACAGTAAACTAAGATGCAGTTTTATATTTTATTTTGGGCCTTTTTATGCCTTTCCAGAAATCCTGACGAGTTCAGTCATACAGTATTATATAGGTAGTCAGATACCATTCCATTGTGTGGAAACCCCACACTTCATTTCATCAATTGATGGAAATTTTTGTTATTTTCATCTTTTGGTACTATGAGCAGTGCTGCTGTGAGCATTCATGTACATTTTTTGTGGAAATATGTTTATAATTCTCTTGTATATATATCTCGGAGTGAAATTACTGGATCCTAAGGTAACTGTGTTTAGCCTTTTGAGGAACTTCGAGGCTGTTTTCCATTTACATTCCTACCAGCAATGTAGGAGGGCTCTAATTTATCCTCATCTTCACCAGCATTTGTTATTATCTGTTCTTTTCTGATTATAGTCATCCTGTTGTTGTTTGTTTAGAAGCTAGTCATGTCTGACTCTTTTACAACTCCATGGACTGTAGCCTGCCAGGCTCCTCTGTCCATGGGATTTCCCAGGCAAGAATACTGGAGTGGGTTGCCATTTTCTTCTCCAGGGGATCTTCTCTACCTAAGAATCGAACCTGCGTCTCCTGCATTGCAGGTGGATTCTTTACCACTGAGTCACCAGGGAAGCCTTATAGCCCTCCTAGTGGGTGCAAACCGGTAGAGAGAGGGAGATGAGCTTTCGTTTTTGCTTGTATACAAGGGAAACATGAATTTTTAAATGGTAGTAAAACTTTGGGGTAGTCAGCTATAATCAGCCAAAGGTTGAATACCTGCTAAATCAGAGTGGTATATGTTGTGCTGTGGTCTGTGCCTGAGGCAGTTAAAATCTGGCTGAGGAGTTCAGTTGTAAAAGATAGAGAAAGATTCCATCAAGGCATTATAGTAAATGTGTCAGAGGGATGCAGGCTGACTGTGGCTGGAGTAGTCCCCAGAGGTTCTCAGGTAGGAAGTGAAGCTTGACCCACATCCTGAAGGATGTGTGAGAGGGAATGGCAGAGAAGATAACATTTTTTTTTTTCTCATTGCTCATGTTTGAGTGGTGAATTATTATAAGCTAACGATTGACTCCATAAAGGAATTAGTTCAAACTTAAAAAAAAAGCCCCTCCCCCACCCCCTGCCAGAAAACTCAAAGGAAAGGTACAACAAGAAAGGGTAAAATGAAGTCACGAGGGTAATTTCAAAATAGGTATTGCCATCGTGCTCTGCAAAGATTGTTTCAACAAGTCACCCGAACTCAGTTCATCAGTGATCCGAAAACTGCATTCTGTGTTCACTGTTCCTTGACAGAAAGCAAAATTTATTTAGAAATTTTAAAAACTCTTACCAAAACACAAAAGTAGCACTATAACTACTGAAGCAATATTAATACGTTTTATTTTGAGATCCAAGGTATATGAAGACTATTAAGGGGAAAGCTTTTTAGAATTGATGACGTTTATTCCTTAAAGTGACTTTTTTCTGAACCTCCATCTCTTTTTTTTTGAAGCTTTCTTCTAGGCTACATGACTTCCTGAACGACAAGAACAATGTTATGTTGGGGGTATTGGTCTCTGGGCCAACCTGGGATCAGCCCGAACCTGCAGGGCATTGTGGCGGAGCCACAGGTGTGTGGATTTATATCCGACAGAAGCGTCAAGGAAGTGGCCTGTGGAGGAAACCACTCCGTGTTCCTGCTGGAGGATGGCGAGGTTTACACGTGCGGTGTGAACACCAAGGGCCAGCTGGGCCACGAGAGGGAAGGGAACAAGCCGGGTAAGTGGCCCCCGTCGGCCTCGGTGACTGGGGGCAGGCTGGGGCCCGAGGAGCTGGTGGGGATTTTCTTACCGAGTGTTGACCTTTTAGGGTGGCTCTCCTTTTGGTGAGAAATGGTGAGGGAGGGTCTTAAATTGTGACTTGGTAGTATTTTTCACAATAGCCTGTGCTGTTTTCTTACTTGATGTCTTTTTTTATTCTATCCAAATCAAGATTCCAAAGCTTCATGAAAGAAGAGCCTTGCTGTTTTTAGTCTCGATGCTTTTTCTCTTGTGTTCTTTTAGGAAAGTCAGTTGGGCATCAGGATGAGCTTGTTCTTTTAGGAAAGTCAGTTGGGCATCAGGATGAGCTTGTTCTTTTAGGAAAGTCAGTTGGGCATCAGGATGAGCTTGTTCTTTTTTTTTTTTCTGTGACTGCTTCCCTCTTTTCTCACATTTATTCCCTCCCACGGCAAAGTGGCTATGTTCTATTATTCCCCTGTTCAAGTGTTAGTATTAATTTACATTTGTTAATTTTTTTGTTGACCCTTGGATAAAGGGCTGCAAGGCTGATCTTAAGGATAAATTATTAAGTGTGTAAAGCATGGTTTCTGGGCTCTTTCCCCATTCTTTGCCTCCAGGTTCCCTCATTAGAACCTCCCTGAGAACCACTCTCTAACCCCTAGGCCTGCCCACCTGGAGCAACACCCAGTGTTCTAGCCAGGGGTTCCTAACCAGTGGGCCCTGTACTCTGGGGCGTTTGGGAAGGGGTTCGTAGTATGGGCCATGCATATATACACCTTTATGTGTACAACCCACCTGATGCTACGTGTTTGCAAATGGAAGTAAATCCTGTTGTTCACTGAAATAATTCAATTAATAGTGCTACCAGTTCATTATTTGAGTTAGTGAATCCTAATCATTATGTGTTTAACCAATTAATATAATACAGAATCATAATATGTAGCTATTATGGTGGTGGCAAGGTTTTTGACTTTTAAAAACACTTTTCATATTGGGAAAAAAACAGAGGTCTTTTGCCCCCCTCCTCCTGTAATAACTCACTTGTTTTTTACGTGAAGCGTCTCTGCTTACCCTCTTCCCAGGTGAGAGCCAGTATCTAACAGCTAACACCTGCAGAGGGGTTGATGGGCAGTCCTAACCCAAAGGCGTGCTCCTTCCTGGGGGAATGTCTACATTTAAGACCGACTTTATCTCTGGGTTTCGAAGATCCCCTGAAGGAGGAGAATATTAAGACCATTCCAATATTCTTGCCTGGAAAATTCCATGTGCAGAGAAGCCTGGTGGGTTACAGTCCATGGGGCCGCAAAGAGTTGGGCATGGCTGAGCACACAGGCACATTAAAAGATAACGTAAGGCCCCCACCCTGGCCAGCCTGTGAAGGGCGTGGTTTGGAACCAGGAAGAGATCTTTCCAGTAATTCCTGCAGAGAGTAATTCCATGGTGAGTGTGAACCCTGGAGCCATACACAGCTCATGGAGGAGGCATTACTCTCTCTGACTCTATTTTTGAGCCCAGGCTCTTTTCCTTTAAAAGGAGACTTCCTACCGTTCTGTGGCTCTTGATGAAGTAGCTTCTAATAAAGAAGTCTTCCCAAAGCCACTTTAGCCTGTGAAGGTTGCTGTCCCCGCCCTCCCCCCAGCCCCACTGTTGTCTGTTTTCTCTGTGACTGCCTTCTGTCAGGCCACCGGCACTCAGGGGCGCCTCACTGCACACCTTGGTCCTAGGACCTGGAGCTGGAGGACTGGACCTGTGGTGGCAGCTGAAAAAGGAAATGAAACCCTTGCAGGCCAGTGATAGCAAAGATCTGCAGATGGCACCCTGGTGAATACTCCTGAGTGCCATCTGCCATTCTTCTAGCCAACTCTCCGGGCCAGAGCCCCCCGGGCTGGCCCTGGGCAGCTGGTGGGGCTCTGGGAACTGGTGGCCGACCTGGGAGCGGTCAGCCTGCGTCCTCCTGCAGTTGGCTTGGCCTGCACCCACTCCCTGGAGGCTGGGCTAAGTGATGGCGAGAGACTTGAGCTAAAGGTGTGCCAAGAAAGCTTTCAGATTAAATAATGGAATCCAGCCCGTGCTTGTCGTCTAAATTTGGAATAAGCCAGGTTCTAGTGTAAATTACAATGGACTCCAGAAATTTCTGTTGCTGGTTAAGCTTGCCTGTTGATTATAAACTCCGAGGCAGCTGCAGAATAGTGCCTCTTTGAATGGAAAGATTCTGTGGGTGGGCACCTCCCTTTCTTTAACTTCTTCTTCAGTAGATGTGCTCTAAATCTGGGTGCCGTTGAGTTTATTTTTAAGGAGTGGGAAAAAGAGAATGAGCTTGTTTTCTGTATGTGTTTATTGAGAACCACAACGTGGGGTGNAGAGAATGAGCTTGTTTTCTGTATGTGTTTATTGAGAACCACAACGTGGGGTGCTGCTAGGCACGGAAGGGACGTCAGTGACAGGGGGCCCTGTTTCAGGAAGCTTGGGCTGGCCAGGCATATGGGAATGCTGTCCCCGAGTCACCCCTGCGATCTTCGGGAGGGACCTTGCAAGAAGGCCACCTCCCCAGAGAGTCTGCTTCTGGGGACAACAGGCGGGTCTGCGATTTCAGGTCAGCATCAGTGCCCAGTTCAAAGGGTTTAGCAGTAGGAAGGGTTGGAAAGAGCGAGGGGAAGGAAAAGGTGGTGCTGCTGGGGGGGCACAAGGACAGAACCCTGTCCTGTGATCATGTGCCGTGAGTCTGTCCTGCCAGTTGTGAAATACCAGTTTCTACACTTTGTATCTAGCTGGCAAAGTTGCAGGGTAGCTGAATTCACTTTTGCGGGGAGGAGGAATTCTATACTTGTCAGCAGAACAGTGGCATACAGCCCTCCGCAGCAATTTGAAAGGTGTATTTTTGTTGTTGTTTCCCCCTCTTTGAGAACATCTGATTGTTGCCTGTTGCTCTTGCTGCTTCTGAGGCTACTGTGCTTCCTTTGTACTCGGATTTCTTCCCTCCTGGATGCTGCCCTTGTGTGACCTGGCAATTATGTCTCTGTGCCTGGCGCAGGGAGGGTGCTTCCAGGCCACCTTAGATACTGGAACTCCAGGTCATGCAAGCCCAGATGTCTCCCCAGCGTGTCAGGCGGCCTGGGGTTCTAGCTCAGGTGTGTCCATGATTCATTCATTTGTGCTTCGGCCAAAGGTAGAGGCCTGCGTTTCCCAGGAGCATTTTTTATCAGCAGGCTCTCAAAGCCCCACCTAAACTCAATGTCCGGCTTTTTAAAATAAGTGTTGGGCTTAGTACTGTGGTGCGTACTCCTCTCCCATAGGACTTTTTTCTCCTTTATTCTCTCCTTCACATTGTGGAATCAGCCTGTCTCCTCCACAAAATCAAGGAGTTTGAGTGCTTAGGACAGCGTAGGATGATTACTAATTTCCTGATGTTTTTGTCCATGAAGTCATCGCAAGACTTGAGCTACCTTATGGGAAGATGTGTGTGCCTCCTTGTTTTTTTAAATAAAGGAAGCAAACAAAACATGAGTTTTCTTCTAAATGATTTTTTGACTAATCTGTAACCGAACATTAAACAAATCTTGAAGTATTTTACTAAATTAGAAACTCGTTGCCCACAGAAAAATGTTCAAAAATTTTGCCTCAGTTTACTGTGCTTCTCTTATTCCCATCCATCCACGTTGTCAGCATTACTCTTCTGCTAAAGGGACAGCTCTTTTCCCACACATACTCTGATTTCCCATACTGGGATTTTTAGCATAAGCAAATCCGTGTGTTATCAGGGATGTCTGAATTTATGTAAACCTCCTCTAACCTTTCTTTCTGTCTTGAGTAGGCAAAAACTGTGGTAGATGTAATTATTTAGTTTAACCTATGTTAAATTTAAAAAATTCTGCATAGATATCCCAGGAAACCCTTCCATAGCAAACCCAAAGGGTAACTAATTATAAACAGACTAACATTTCTGTGCAGCGGTATTTGGTTCATACTTGTGACGGGTTCCTTTACCACCTCCTTAGTTTTTCTCCTTCTTGTAGGTAATTTAATCCAGTTCACATTTTGTATTCAATCAGGGTATTTCCATAATGCCCATCACCATATGTAACAGCTCTCCCGCTGTTTGATAAATGAGGTTTATAAAGCAGAGCATCTCAAAAGCCTCAATTCCCAGAGCTATAGTTGCTGCTAACCCCGGAGAAGTAGCACTTTGAACCAGCTTATCAGGTTGCTCTAGGGCATCTGAAGGACGCAATAGCTCTGTCTTGTTAATCAGCTTTTGCCGAAAAGCAAACTAACTGAGCTGAAAGGAAATAGAAGAAATCCTTTGCTGACTTTGTAATATTGAAACATGTGTTTCCGTGGGCATAACTCTGATATAAAAAGCAGAAGGTGCCGTAGCAAATATTCAGATCTCAACGCTGCCCTTGATAGGGGCCCATCTCTTCCTCATTAGGAATTGCAGGTGGTTGGTGCTGGGAGTGGGGCTGCACAGCCTCTCTGATGGGAAGGAGAAGGGTAGTCATCAACCCCTGTAGGGTGCGTTGACTTGTTGACTGCTTTCATAGCTGAGAGGACAGCTTTCTGGTCCAGAGGCCTAGGGATCAGGAGCAAATGTCAATTAATATTTTTATTTTCTGCTGTGGTCAATGAAAAGTCACTTTTTTTCCTGTCTAAAGTACTCTGCCTACTTTCTTTAAAGACATTTGAATGTTTTAGAAAATATATACTTATTAATGAGCATATTCTTCAATGTGAGATATTGTTCGTGTTATAAATATTTGCAGTTTACTTTTAAGTAATTAACAGAGTGGTTTGCATCATGACATAAGTCTCAATTCATGTCAATTTTAAAAGTGGTTAAGTATACATATTACAAGCTCTCTTCATCTCAACATGCTGAGTATTTTTAAGCTGATAATTCTCATGATAGTCTGGGTCCCACATTTGTTCTAGACACTGCCAGGACACAACATGTTCAGTGCCCAGCTGCCTTTTGGCGGTTTATAGGCCAAGTGGGAATAA